CATCTAAGGTTCAAGTCTGTTAGCCAGCATGAGTTGATTTTTGTGAGAGGTGAAAGGTGTGGGTCCTGTTTCAGTCTTCTACATGTGGCTATCCAGTTTTCCTAGCACCATTTATTGAATAAGGATTCTTTTCCCCAGTGTATGTTTTTGTCTGCTTTGTCAAAGATTAGTTGGCTATATGAGAATGGTTTGTGGTTTTGATTTCCATTTCCCTGATGAATGGTGACATTAAGCATTTTTTTATATGTTTCTTGGCCATTAGTTTATCTTCTTTCAGAAAGCTTCTGTTCATGTCTTTTGCCCACTTTTTAATAGGGTTGATTTTTTTTTCTGGCTGATTTGCTATAGATTCTGATTATTAGCCCTTTATCGGATATACAGCATGTGGCTATTTTCTCCCATTCTGTAAGGTGTCTATTTGCTCCATTGACTGTTTTCCTGGCTGCACAGCAGCTTTTTAATTTAACCAAGTCCCATTTATTTATTTTTGTTGTTGCTGTGACTGCCTTTGGGGTCTTCTTCATAAATTCTTTGCCTAGGCTGATATCTAGAAGAGTTTTTCCCAACATTTTTTTCTAGAATTTTTATAGTTTCATGTCTTAGGTTTAAATCTGCTATCCATCTTGAATTAATTTTAGTGAGAGGTGAGAGATATAGATCTTGTTTCAATCTTCTATATGTGGCTATTCAATTTTCCCAGTACCATTTATTGAATAGGGTATCTTTTCCCCAGTGTATATTGTTATCTGCTTTGTCAAAGATCAGTTGGCAATATGTGGATGGTTTCATATCTGGGTTCTCTGTTCTATTCCACTGGCCTATGTCTCTATTTTTGTCCCAGTACTATGCTGTTTTGGTTACTATAGCCTTGTAGTATAACTTAAAGTCTGGTAAAGTAATGCCTTGAGATTTGTTCCTTTTGCTTAAGGTTGTTTTGGCTCTTCTGGCTCTTTTCTGGTTCCAAAAGAAACATAGAACTACTTTTTCTAGATCTGCAAACAATGATGTTGGTATGTTGATGGTGATTGCACTGAATATGTAAATCACTTTGGGTAGTATAGACATTTTAACAATGTTGATTCTGCTGATCCATGAGCATGATATGTTTTTCCATTTGTTTACATCCTCTGCAATTTCCTTCCTCAGTGATTCATACTTGTCTTTAGACAGAGATCTTTCACTTCCTTGATTAAATACATCCTAAGTATTTTTTTCTTTGTAGCTATTGTGAAAAGTATTGATCCTTTGATTTGATTCTCAGCTTGACTGTTGTTGGCATATAGAAATGCTACTGATTTGCGTACATTGATTTGGTAACCTAAGACTTTGCTGAATTTATTTATCAATTTCAGAAGTCCATTGGAGGAATCTTTGTGGGTTTCTAGATAATAAGATCATTTCATCAGCAAAGAGAAATAGTTTGACCTCTGCTTTCCCCATTTGGATATCCTTAATTTCTTTCTCTTGCCTGATTGCTCTGGCTAGGACTTCCAACACTATGTTGTATAGAAGTGGTGACTGTGGGCATCCTTGTCTTGCTCCAATTCTAAGTGGAAATGCTTTCAACTTTTCCCTATTCAGTATAATTTTGGCTAAAGGTTTCATTATTTATTACTGATTGCAAAAGAAAACAGATAAAATTAAAATAGATGGGTACCTCCTTAATTAGCTAAAAAGATTTTGAAACAAATCTGAGATATCCTCTCTATCCATTCTCTTTGAATCTGTTAACTAGACAAAAGGAAAAAAGTACCATTATAAAAATTGGAAAGAAAACTGTCATTATTTGCAATTATTATCATATAAACCAGAAAACTAGAAGAATCATCTAAAAATAACTACTACTGATGATGATAAAAGAATTAACAGGTACAATACTGCATACACAGAAATCAAAAACTCTCAAACATAAAGAATAAATTGGAAGTCATAATGTCAGAAAATTCCCTGTTTCTAGCAACAAGAAAAAAGATATAATATCTAGGAAGAAATAAACGTAACAAAAAAATGCACAAGGCCTATATAAAGAAAATTACAAAACATCTCTGACAAACATAAAAAAGTCTTGAACAAAGGGGGAAACATAACATGCTCTTAGATTCAAAGGCAAGCAATCTCATGTGGCTTGCTGGCAGTATAAATGGGCACATCACTGAGGGCAACTTACCAATATCTACAAAAATTATAAATATATATACCCTTTGATCTAACAATTCCAATTCCAGTGATTTATCCTATATGTGGTCCTGCCTCCATGTGAAAGAATGTGTATGTATAAGGCTATCCATTGCAGAACTATTTTGTAATAGTTAAATATTGGAGATATCACATATCCATCACTAGAGCACTGGTTAAATAAATTATGCTATATCCATAAACAGAATAGGATGCTGCTATGTAAAATAAAGATCTCTATGAGCCAAAGCCCCACAACCATTGTAAATACTTATCACTGGATGTGAACACATGTTTCTTAAGGGAAGAAAAAAATATTACCAACATTTAGGTATAATGACCACACAGAATTAGAACTCTAAATTGTTGGGGCAAAATCAGAACAGCGACTTGATAATTTTATTCAGCAACAGATTTTGTCCAAGTCTTAGTTTTGTGAAAAATTCCAATGAAAAGCTGTTATTATTTTATCAGCATAAAAGTAGAACATATATAGCCATGAACGACGTAATGACATGCTGGTCAACAATAGAATACACACATGATGGTAGTTACATAAGATTATAATAGATCTATATTATAATCTTATCACCTAGTAACATCTTAATGATCCTTATCCAGTGTAGGCCTAGGCTTATATGAGTGTGTGTGTGTCTCAGTTTGTAGCAAAAAAGCTTAAAAAGTGAAAAAAATAATTCAAATGGAAAAACACTTAGAGGATGAGGACATACACCTGTACAACATGTTTGTGCCTTAAGCTAAGTGTTACTACAAAACAGTGAAAAAGTTTTTAAAAAATTTAAAAGTTTATAAAGTAAAAAAGTTACAGTAAGCTTAGTTTATCACTGAAGAAAGAAAAAATATTTTTTTATAAATTTAGTGTAAGTGTACAGTATTTACAAAGTCACACTGTACAGCTGTGTACAGTAATGTCCCATGCCTTCACATTCACTCACCTTTCACTCACTCGCTGACCCAGAGCAACTTCCAGTCCTGTAAGGTCCACTCGTGCTAAGTGCCCTGTACAAGTGTACCATTTTTTATCTTTTATACCTTATGTTTACTGTATCTTTTCTATGTTTAGATGTATTCGATACATAAATACTTACCTTTGTCTTACAGTTGCCTACAGTATTCAGTACAGTAACATGCTGTACTGGTTTGGAGCCTAGGAGCAATAAGCCACACCATATAGCCCAGGTGTGTAGTAGGCTATTCCAGCTAGGCTCCTGTCAGTGCACTCTGTGGTATTCACATAACAACGAAATTGCCCAATTATGCATTTCTCAGAACATACCCCTGTAGTTAATACACGACTGTACATGATTTTAAAAACTGTATCAGTACAGATATGCATAATATGTAAAGCAAGCCACTGTCAATCCATCCAGTCTCATTTTACAAGGTGCTTTGGCCATATCTGTTTTTATTTTCACTGGCAGTGTTGTGGTTTGAATGTTTGTCCCCTCCAAAATTTATGCTGAAACTTAATCCCCATTGTAATGGTATTAAGAGTGTGGGAAATCTGACAGTAGTATCTGAGAGGTGGGACCTTTGGGAGGTAATTGGGATTAGACGAGGTCCTGAGGGTGGGGTATTAGTGGCTTTATAAGGGGAGGAGGAGAGACCTGAGCTGGCATGCTCAGCCCCGTCCCCTTGTGATGCCCTGCACCACCTCAGAACTCTGCAGAGTTCCCACTAGCAAGAAGGCCCTCACGAGATGTGGCCCCTTGACCTTGGACTTCCCAGCCTCTAGAGCTATAAAAAATAAATTTCTTTTTGTTATACATTATCCAGTGTCAGGTATTCAGTTATAGCAACAGAAAACAGACTGAGATGAGGTGGCAATCAATCTAAATAATACGCTTATAGTTCTATTTCTTGCTTTATCATCTTTAAACAGTGCCTATTGACTTTGTGCCATGAAAGAGAACAAATTAATTTAGGGAAACTATCCCTATCTAACCCCACTTCCAATTTTTGCTGGCAATATCATTATTATTTATAGATTCTTAACAATCTATTTTGACTCATCAATTTTAAACAGTGCTTCCAGATTCCCCATTACGTAAGATGAGCAAACTTACAAATACAACCTGAACAGAATCAGAAGCAAAACTCAACTCTAAGAAGCATTTACCTTGTTCATAAAGTAGCTTCATATTCGAATCTTTGCAGGCAACCAGATTGTTGAGCAATGCAATCACACTTTGCATGGTGTTACCCAGAATGCTCTCCTGATGTTCCTGCAATAGATCATAATTTCCATCATAACCATACAGAAATACAATTACATCATCATAAAGGCAAATGAGCAAATGATCTCCATCCCTTCATTCTTTGCACAAGGTTAAATGATTACACTTTTGCACTTTAACGAAGCAAATCCTGCTGTGGTAAGGCACGCCCCATCAGTGAATTAAGTGAACTGGGAGAGAGAGTAAATCATCCAGACAGCAGTGCTGTGTCATGCAATCCCCTTGCCGTGAGCTGAGGGGCAACACATGGCACTCTGTGCTCTTAGTGTGCAGGAAAGGAACGACCAGAGAACGAGTATATGGAACCCAAATGACCATGTTTGAAAGTGACTTTGAGATCACAAAAGAAAACTACTTACAGAAATGTTTCTGCTGTTTCGAGATTATCCTGGTATTGGTATTTTCCCACTGTAGTCTCGCACATTTATGGTTATGTTGGATCTGACTAACTGTGTTACTGCTTCAGTGCAATAAACTTCATTTGGGACCTAAAAGAGCGGATTTTACTTTCCTCAACACTTACTATCATACAGTAGGGAGTAACTTGGGCCCTAAAGAAAATGCGGAAAATGAGTAATTCTTCAGTCATAATTTCTCATTTAAAAAAAAATGATTTCTTTGTAATTTAAAAAATATCTCAAAAAATAGCTTGCTTTTCTTTTGTTCCCTTTTTGATTTCTCTGAATTTTTAAAAAATTAAACAATTAACAGATTATCAATGAAAACATGAAATGTCATATAATTCAAAAATAAACAGAAAGTCTTTAAGGTCTGGGAGTAGGATGAGGCAAGGGAGACACACAAGGGTGAAAAATGAAGGGAAGTGTTCACTCTCGGGTTCACGCAAGTACTCGGGAACAGTGAGGGTTCTAGGAGTCTGTCTTGCCTCACTCTAGTCCCACCCCGTTCCTGACCACTCTGCTAATAGCTACTGCCATCCTGAAAAGCAACAAGTAGGCCCAGTAGTGTGCTTCATCCAGACATTTTCCTATTCATTTTCCTTCCTTCCTTCCCTCCCTCCCTCCCTCCCTCCCCAACACACAGAGAAATATATAGTTTGCTGTGGGTTTTTTAAAAAATGTGAATTATATCATATTTATTATTCATTCAACAAATAACTAAAGAATAGTTATTTAAAAGCGTTACCACTGTCCCATAACGGGCCTGCTTCCTGCTCAGGAACAGACCCCACCATGTCTGTGGAGTAAGATCTATTGTCTGTCTCTTTCTTAGTAAACTTTCTGCTGTAGCTGGCTGCTCTTGAATTCTTTCCCCATGAAGCCAAGAACCCACTTGGCGAGTTCAGGGGGCTTTCCCCTCTTCATTAGGAAACCCCCTGCATCACAATAGCCTGGGTACCAGAGTGAGAACATGGAGCAGACTGGCCAGGAACCTCTCGACTGGACAGCTGGTTTCCAGAGCTTACAAAATATCTACATTGCATCTGGCTCTGAAACTGCTCTCTCCACAGACCAATAACTCCCAGTGACGAGAGACGCTTGGTTTCTTATGGGTTTTACCATCTACATCTTTGCTTGATACAAGACAAAGAGTTTGCTTTCCAAATACTGATAACTAAAAATTTCAAACTTCAGAAACACGCGTAAGAGCACTTTTGTGGTAGATGTTAACGTTTGAATGTTTCACTGACACCAGCTTAAGAAGATTAATGTGGAAGCGATGGTCTGCCACCAATTTCATCTAATTATTCTTACAGTTGGTTGGAAGGGAAGGATGATTAATAAGCACCAAGATGACACTACATGTTATTCATGATAAAGTAACTAACGATACATAGAAAACCTCTTCTTGTGAAGAAAACTGAAGCTAATAAATCTTTTATTTTGGGTCCCATTTGGTAAAGTGACACATACTGCTCCTTGTTCAAAGACCCGTCTGTCAGCAAATATAGGTCAGTCTTACTGGAGGTAAATCCATTGTTTCTTTGAGATATATATTTTTATGACTAAATGCACCCTTTCTGTGATGCCCCTGGGCAATTATTCTGCTTGTTCTGAAGCCAATACTTTAGCTTTTCCTGTGCTCAGGAAGTGCCACTTGTTCATACAGGCATGTCCTTCAATACAAAAGCCAACTCTCCAAATCTCTGTTACCTCTGGACACAAAGAAACCAGGATCAAATCCCAGCCAAGTAGGTTATCGGGGTCCCCTCCTGGGGATCCCACAGTCACTGCAGAATGAAGACCTCTGCAATTGGCAGAGTGTAAAGCTAAGGTACACTCTGATTATCAAACATCCCTAATGAACATTATGACCAGGTGTACCCAGGGAAAAAACATATTTGATTCATAGAATAAAAAAGGGACCAATAATCCTGTAGCCAGATTGGGGAAAATTGCTCTTTTTTTCTATTCTAGACATTTTTTTTTGAGACAAAGTCTCGCTTTGTTGCCCAGGCTACAGTGAGTGCCATGGCGTCAGCCTAGCTCACAGCAACCTCAAACTCCTGGGCTCAAGCAATCCTTCTGCCTCAGACTCCCGAGTAGCTGGGACTACAGGCATGCGCCACTATGCCCAGCTAATTTTTTCTATATATATTAGTTGGCCAATTAATTTCTTTTTATTTATAGTAGAGACGGGACGGGGTCTTGCTCTTACTCAGGCTGGTTTCGAACTCCTGACCTCGAGCAATCCGCCCACCTCAGCCTCCCAAACTGCTAGGATTACAGGCATGAGCCACTGCACCTGGCCAATTCTAGACATTATTAAAAAGACTGTTCTTTATTTTCTTTCCTGATGGTTTGTAAACTATTCACAGATCATGAACTTTGTTCAGTATAAAGTAGGGGCTTTATGAAAATTATAAAAGTTGTAATACAGAGTTATCTTTACTTGCTCTTTCTTCTTATGGGTGTATATTCCTTCTGCCATAGTACTGGGGAGGGAGACCTCAAAACAGAGTAACTGTTCTGCTCAACATGATGATGTGGTTTTCTAGGAGAACTAGGACAGCTACTGTTCTGGACTAGATCATAATTTCCCCAGAAAAACTGCTAAATACGTGCAAAGAGCAGCTGAGAAGGTATAAATGTGAATTAAGCACACTTCTATTAACTTTCATCAAATTTATTTCATTTCTCTTAGCAACTTTAATAAGATTTGTTCTTGTTCACGATCATATTAGCCTGCAGGGAATAAATTATGCATTGAAAAACATCACATTTACTTCTTAAAGATGGTTTGGAGGATTATATGAAAAGAGAAAATGTGAGAGTAAACATGTGCAGCTAGAGTTTTTCTTGGACAGATCTGGAAGACTAGTGGAAAGGGAAAAGGAGATGCAAGTTTGGTTCAACGACCACAGGCCAGAGTTGGAGGGGAGTGATAATTCTGATTAAAGACTGTGTCATCATTAGATGCTTCTCTGGGACAGCCCCTCCAACTCTCCCAAATTTATGCCTGAGTCCTAGGCTGAAAGGACAGTAACAGCAGGCTAGGTAAAATCCTGACGTCTTTTTTTCAATCTCTGTGACTTATTACTAAAGCAAGGGATTCATACCATTGGTGCCCTGTCACATATGAGAGAGACAAAAGCAGGTGATGACCTGCAACAGGGCTTTTGGGACAGAGTCAGGGGCCTAGGCATCAGGCAGCCTGAGGGTCTACCTTGTCAAGCAGCAACAGAGCAGCCATGTGGGCCTGAGCTGGGGTAAGGCTGCCCCGATTAACATACTGAGAATTTACTATGTGCCATGGCCTGTACCCCAAGCACTTTACCTACATCATCTCATTTAATCCTTACAGAACATGCAAGGGGCTACGGTTCTCTTTTTATCAGTGAGAACTGAGGTTTATGAGGTCAAGTGTAACTTGCCAAACTCTGTAGTTGCGAAGCTAGGATTTGGCCTGCAGGATGACAGAAGTCATGCCCCTAATCATGACCTCACGACCACAAACAGGGTGGCGGTGGTGCCAGGTCACCCAGGCCAGTCAGCATACTCCAGGCAAACCAAATCCACCTGTGGAAACACAGGGTTAACTGGGAAAAACGAAAAGGAGTCCAGAGTAGGGGGTGGAAAGAACCTGAGAAACACCGATTTGGGGCTGCTACGGTGGGGCTTGTCCTTCCTCCTTTTCATGCCACAGTGCACCCTACCTCGGCCACCACCACTGAGAACTCCTGGTTTCATAAGTGCCCATAATGTTTATCATTATGCTGCAAGTCGTACAACCCAAGAAGCACAAGGTAGGTGTTAGGCAACCACAAGAAAGGAAAGAGTGAGCGTATTACCCAAAAGAATAAAAACATATAGTAGAGCCACCAGCATTCAGGGCACTTGTGTTTGTGTTGGCTGATGGGTGAGAGAGGAAACAGCTCAGAGAAGAGGGCAACACTGATATCCTACAGAAGGCAATCCCCACTGCACTTTAAGACTGTGACGAAAATATTTAACTCCTTCATCCATAACCCATAAGCACAGCTGATCTAATTTAGGTGCCTGACACCATAGTGTGTGGACATTCAACAGAAGACTTGAGAGCTCTAATAAAACATAGCATTTGCCAGTCGAGATAATTAGAATTGAAGCAGCAAAATTCTGGTGTTTGGCAACATAGATGAAACAACTTCATTAAAATGTACAGCTTCAGCAAATGAAAGGCAGGAGAGCACTGGACCCTGAAGAATCAGCCTTCTCAGAACTAATTGCTTCAGTGCTTAAAAGAGGACAGCTCGGAAATACCAAGGGCACAGCAAGGAAACGCCAGCAAATGACCAGCCTTTCTAAGGCGGTATCACTGTAGACAGGGCATTCTACTTGATTCTAATATTTGATGCTAAAAATGACGCTGGAAGACTCAGATGTCCAGATTAGAAAGTTTCGTAGGGATCTGAATAGTGAAGATAGGAGATACCCTTAACAACTGAACGTAACAATGAACCACAGTTATCCTCTTTTGCCTTTGGTGCAGGTCAGAATTTAAAAGACAATTAATTAAAAGACCACAACTAATCTGAGGGATGAGAA